ATTTTTTCAATAACGGCAGTAGATATAAGAATTTTAGATTGACATTTTTATTCGTAACAAAAAAATGATTTAAAATTACTTAAAATCACTATCATTCACTTCTCAACCTGAACGATATAAATTTGTAAAGTCAAGCGTTTTGGTTAATGTGACGATTAGTGGGCCAACTATCTTATTTTACATTTATTGTGATAAGATAGAAATTTACTCTTATGTTGTACATTATATTTATTATCGTTATCTTATTTTTTAAAATGTCTTTTATTGCAACCTCTTATGACCTTGATGAAATTGTGTCAATTTATTCATTGGTTCTAGTTATAAAAATACAATTTATTCTATAGAAATTGTTTTCTTTATTATATGGTCAGTATTAATGTTATATTGTACAATGTACTCTTTTTACAAAATGCTAAATCTGAATTTGGCTATTTAAATACTTATATATATTTTATCTTGTCCCCTTTTGTACATGATATAAATTTTTTCATATTTCTATTTTTTCAATACAAAAAACAATTCTTAAGAATACAATATAAAAGATAAAAAAAATTGTAACTTAAAAGTTTCACACATAATTCTGTTTTAATTATATCTGTTATAAATAAATGACGCGCGCGCGCGCGCTCACACACACACACACACACACACACAATATCTCTTTAAATTAATTACACAAAATACATAGCTTATACATTTATATTGTTTTTTTCTAAATATATATTTGCGATTTCTATAATATCAAATACTGTTAACGATAAAACATTTTATAAAATAGAATCAGTCTATACACAAATATTTTTATGTTTAACTTTTTTAACTTTTTACAATATTATGAAAGGACTCATCATTATATGTCATCCCATATTCGTGGCACTTGTTGCTTCATTATAACAAAATATTTCGTCATATACACATGTGTGCATTTATAAGCAATAACATTTGCCAAATTTTTTTATAAAAATACATTAATATCGTCTGTTTTGTAAATGTCATGTGTTTCAATATATAACGTCCTAATTAAAAAAATATTACATCTTGTATAACACAGGTTTTGTAATGCTTAAATCTGGCAAACTCTTATGTTTTGTGTACAATGAAATCCCAAGTGTCTTTCCATCTTAATTTTATCACGTCCTTGGCAGTGAGAGCTGATGTTCCATAACTAAACACAATGAATTTCTTGAACACATAGATGATAAAAAGTACCCAAGCAATAATACCACATGTTATGATATACAATGAAATGCTCCATGCTGGACGATGTGTGCTGAAATAGAAAATTTAACAAATAATTCATATAATTATTTATGTGAACAATAGTAATAGAATTTAAACTTGCGTCTTTAAACTACAAACAACGTACCTAATTAAATAATACAGGTGATCAATCGTAGCTGCCGTTAATAAGACTTTGAAAATAAAAGCTGGTAAATAGTGATGCAAGAACAAAGTTCGTTCAACGAATAAAAAAGGTAAGAAATGAAGCAAATATCCAGCTAATAATACGTAAGCATTGTTAACAAACTTTTCCCACTCTTCCTCTGGAATATCAAAACATTGTCTTTTTCTCCTTATTAAATAAAATGTCAGTAATGTTACATATACAATTACTGAGATCGTACCGGAGTACCAAATCACAATATTCCCCAAAAGATGCACTTGTGCCTGAAACAATGAGTAAAATGTTTATCTTATAAAAACCAGCAAAAATTTAAAACTGTATCGATAAAACGTTCATTGGAAACATTGAAATAACGAAAAAAAAATGTAAAAATAAGAAAAATATCGAATGTAATTAAAATATGCCTCATTAACAATATTTGTTGATTAGTCAAGCATTTTTATGTAAAATTTTCCTACTAACATTGCTCTCGTTAGACACCCAGTACGCGATCCCGCGGGACATTAACGGCCACTCAAGAGGTCCACTGGAATACATGTGGCTGTTTTGACCCTCTTGGCCACTAAATAACATCTTGACCTGCAGTTCTGCAAATTTCTCCCAGAAGCTCAACGCGGTTGCCTGCAATGGTATCATCTCCGCACTGATCAGTTCCCGTTCCCGTTGCTTCTGGTCCTCACTTCTAGTGTATCGATGTTCTTCAACGTTCCAAATGGAATTGGTCTGGTCTATCAGCCTATCCGCCACAACTTCGTGTTGATTGAAACCCCAATCGGGCAGTTGCCTTCCGCTAAATTTCAACGCAAACTCGGCTCCATTCGCGTGCACGTGTATCAGCCGCACTTGGCTCTGAATCGCATGCCATGCATCGCCGGAGTGATCCCTGTTTGTGATTTCTACCCGCCATAGATTCTGCGCTGGCATAGACACATTGTAATCGATGTAACACGACACTTCCTGGCTCTGCGGCGTCATCGGTGCCGCAACATCGTGCGAGTTTAACGCTCTGCTCGTGATCCCGTGCACCAATTGAATCACATCTCCATGCCGAATGGGCTCGCTAGGTTTCGTTACTACTAAGTCGTTTTTGTCCGGCTTCTTGACGATCCACCAGTTGTTAACATCTTTAAACGAATAACAAGTGACTTGCTGCTGATGAGAGCTGCCGCGACCATCGGGATATCGCAATGGATACACTTGATTATGACTGTGCAGCCAACAAGCTCTGCCGTACGTGTGTCTAAGAGTAATCTGCGAACCATGCGTCACTTCCAGAGGCTGTCCTTTCGTGATGCTGGCAAGTCCTCCTTCCAGACTCGCTTGAAATGCACTCGTCATTACTGAGTCGTGTGGTCCTGCCTTTGAGAGTACTGCCAAATGTACGTAGAATATGCTTAAATATACGACGGCAATAACAGCGATTAATACAACGAATCTTAGTAAAAGATGAATCCACAAGATTGTGTTTGACAGGGTCTTCCTTGAGAGCAAAGACCAATAATCGTGAGCGATTAAGAAGAGAGCGAGGGCCATGGAATAAAATCCAACATATTTGACGCTGTAAAGAAATACTTTAATTACACTCTATCAAGAATAAGTATAAGAAATGAAAAAAAAGACTGTAATTATACCATAATGCACATGTTAAATTTACAATGCCTAGTATCAGCCATATCCACCAAGACGCTGATGTTGGTTGATCCATAACTTTCCGAAATTTTACAATGCACAACAAGCCAAGCAACGAGAAGTGCATCAAGATACTTTCCATCAAGACAAATCTCGACTGTGTCAACAGTGCGTTATCTAAAATAGCAAGTACCAATCTATATCAGTTAACTATGTCGATACAATACTATGCGTTATAGGGCACAGTAGAGTAAAGATATAAATTTAATTTTAGCAAAGATATCAACGGCTGGATTTAATTTTTTAAGTAACAAATTATGTGTATACGTGATTTATACTGTGTATTACAATAGAATCTCGTTACTATGCGTTATCTTCAATTCAAGAATAACAGAATTTAAACATTAAACATGCTAGTACATTTTTAATCATAAGAGAGAAATGGAGATAGGACATAACATGAAGGAGATGAACAGCATGTTACAGTCGTGCAATCTTCTGCATAATACATTTTCTAATTTGAGAATAGAAATTCTACTCTACTCTTACCGAGTAAAAGTAGAGTTCCACCAATTGCTGCGGCCCATTGCTTCAAACCCAATTCCAGGACAAGATAATATCCTGTAGGAATGAGTAAACTGCCGCATATCGCCGGTACTAGGCGCAACGCATACAAAGGAATCGCGTCGCTATAAGGACTTCCAATCCTATCAAACTTGAATTGTCCATCGAATCCAGCCAAGTACGCCGCTGCAGAGATCAATTGCTTCCCTAAAGGCGGATGAGAGTCGAAAAAGAACGTCCTCTTCATGTATAATCCAACGTACTTGCCATAATGTAGTTCGTCGAAGCTGTAAGATAGACAAGTATATAATTATAATAGACTAATATAAACAACAGATAATAATTGAAAAGATGGATGAAAATAACCAATATTAGTCATTAAATTTTGATTTATAATCAGCCTTATAATCGGTAAATTTCACTATTTTAACCGCATGTTAAATAAAAGATAACTAAATTTATATATATACAGAGTGTTAGTAAAGTATGTTCCCAAATCATTCTCATTCTCAATTGGGGTGGTATAAACCAATGATTTCAGATGCCCCCAAAGGAAATAATCCAAAGGATTTAAGTCTGGTGATCTAGGAGGCCAAGGTTGAGTTCCTTCACATATATATATGTATATATATGTTATATATATATATATATATATATATATATATATAATATACAGAGCGCTTCTTAAATAGCGGACATTAATCATATAGCGCTATTCTTGATTAAAAATTGAGTCGAAAAGTCCTCATTTTGCAATTTTTGCAATGATTGATATGAGACATTAATTTCTAAAAATTACCCAGTAAGTGATTGCCGAATCACATAATGCTATTCCTGATCAAAAATTGAACCAAAAAGTCCTCTACCATTTTGCAATTTTCATGATAGTTCATGATTGGGCAGCCGGATACGCGCTTATTCGGCAATATTTAGAAATTAATATTTCGTCAACCATTAAGAAAATTGCAAAATTATGAAGAACTTTTCGACTCAATTTTTAATTAGAAATAATGCTATATGATTAGTGTCCGCTATTTAAAAAACATCCTATATACATAGGGTAGATCGGATTTTATGAGCACCTTTTTCGGTTGGTAGTAGTGCCAACTGTTGTAAAAAGATGTCTTTGCGACATTCCAATATGCTGCGAAGTTTGATCTAAATTTATGTACTTCGGATATTTACCATATTAAATAAATAGGTACGTGATTTTTTATTTCTTACGTTTTTTCCTCTAACTTCACAAGGTCCCCAATTTACATTGAGATAAGATATTTTGTTCTGCATGTTAATATTTGTAAAGTAAACAATATTGAGCCATTCTAACTTCATAAAGTCCTGAGACCATTATTGATTTATTAGACACGGGAGTTTTTCGGATAAGTATGTATGGCGTGTATTATGAGCATCTTCCATATTATTCCTTATCGTACACTGAAAAAAGAGTCTGGCGAAGGGTCAATCACTATGGCAATCAGTGTACATTTCTTTAGAAATATATTGCGACAGTACAGTAATAAAACAGGAAATGCTAGCAGTAGCAGTACTAGCAATACACTAGCAATATGCTAGCAATACATAGTAGTACATAGCAATACATTAAAAATACTTGGCAATATATAGGATAACAATATTAACAATACAATAGCAACGCTAGCAATAAAGTGTGTTGTATTGCCATAATTAGCAATCACTGTACATTATTAATGTATATTATTTTAGTAGTGGTTGATCCCTTTAAAGTTTGGTAATAGCTATTAAATGTATGGTGAAATAATGCCAATCAAATGTTTGGTTAATATAACCAAAAATAATGTTACTTTTACAAATATTTAATAAGTTACTAAACTGTTATCATTTGATAATACTTACTAAATATTTGTAAATGTAACATTATTTTTTGGTTATATTAACCAAACATTTGATTAGCATTTCTAATAAAACGTTTCATATATATATATAATATATATTTTAATCTTTCATTTCTGCATAATTTCTTACAAAAAATTTCCTGTGCTCACATCACCCCTAAGGATGCTCATATTAGCCTACCCAGAGGGTAATATGAGCACTGGACAGATAATAAGAGCACTGGACAGATAATAAGAGCACTGGCCACCATTTCAACATTTGCATTAAAATAATCAATTTCAATACTAAAATACATAAAACATCAATAAATCTATCAAATAGTATGCATAAAGTTTTTTTAGTATGCTAGATATCAAAATGTTTCCTTAAGATGCTCATAATACCCGATCCTATGTGTAACACACACAGAGAGAGAGAGGATGTCTCACAACTATCATACAATACTTTTATAGCGTATTCTATAGGTGACGTAGAGTAAAAAAACCTAATAGAAAAATGTCGAAGCTATATATATAATTTTTGAATTATAATTGATCAAAGATACATAGTTTGTAATTCAAAAACTATTACAGCCTTAACATTTTCGTATTAGGATTTTCGTCTTAAAATGTTTGAAAGAATGTAAAAATAATAATAGAAATTATAAAAGTAAAATAGTTTTTGATTTATAAGCAGATAAAATTCTATATCTTTATATCATCATAATGATATAACATATCAATTATTAATTTTTCCTCTATTAGCGTTATATTATTTGCCAAAAATGCGTATGCACTTACACTATACTACGCGGTTCCTCAAGGCAATAAAGACGAGTGCAAATACCCGAAATTAGTAAAATCACTGCTATCAGGTCAATCTCCAAGCTGATCCTGATTCGAGCATGAACCACATTGTTTGATAGAGGTTGTTTTGACTCGATAGAATATGATGAATTTGCTTTATTACTTTCTATCAAAGTAGTATTCGAATCTGTCTGTCCATTTGCCTGTAATAAATAAAAATCAATACAGTAATTAACACGATGCAATCAAATCTGATTATTAATTGATTTTGGAAGAAACTACAAATAATGAAAATAATGATTCTGAAAGATATATCTGTATAGAAATCTTGCTGAAATATTATTTAATCAATATGTTTTTATGTGAAAAAATAGAGGATTTAAATATACAGGGTGTCCGGAAAATCGACCGCGGGCTATGTCTCCATGTGGTGCATCCTGGCCAAAATAGTTTGAAATATAATTATTTATGTTAAAACACTATGAAATAAAGAATCTATTTTTGGATTGAAGAATTAAGATTGTGTATTAATTACCACGCTGACTCTCATTCGCCCTGATTTTGGAGTTTTTGTCTATGAAATAAATTATGACTGTGATTATGAAAAATAAATTACAATTTTTTTAACATAAAAGTGGTTATAACTTGGAAATGACTTCTTTTTCGAGCCTGTTTATATAAGTAGCTTTTTTTCCTTCTTTTTGGATTCCGAAAATCACTTCGGGATTTTTAATACAATAAATGGAGTGTCATACTTGCTCTTTCAATT